TGTAGTAATTTGGAAAGGTATTGAATTCATTTTTCCCTTCTAGGATCCATAAGCAAACCAGGAGGAAAATATTAAGTTGGCAGAGCTCAATTTTAAACCAGGCCATATTCTAAAATTCTTGTAAGTACTGTACCTGGTTTTGACCTTAAAATTCCATTTTCCCATACTCAGGAAGCTCTTTCTTTCCTTTTTTTTTTTTTTTTAAAAAATAATTATTTATTTAATTTTATCTATTCGTTCATTTATTTTTTTTTCATTTGACCAAAGAGAGACATACCTAGAGAGAGAAGGAAAGTAAGAAAGCAAGCCAACAGGCCCAGGACTCCAACTGTGGCCAGCCATGTGGGAGTCCAGCGCCTTGGCCACCACACCAGCTGCCGGCCCTAGGAGCTTTCTAACAGGGCTCTCCATAGACAGAAGCATTTGGCTCTCTGTGAGTGGTGGGTGTGAGTTTGGTAGGAGACTGTGAGGGAGATCAGAGTTGGACCCTATGTTCCTCTCAGCCGAGATCTGCTGGGCTTCCTCCTTCAGGGAGAGGATTTCCAGTGAACTGCCTATGCACCTAAAGAAAAGGGAGATCTGGGACCAGCAGTTGGCGTAATGGCTATGTCGCTGGCCTCCCACGTAGTCGACCACAGTTCGAGTCCCGGACCCGGTAGCTTAAACTCACGCTGGGCACGTGTGTGTGCATGCCCAAGATCCTGAGAGGGGAATGGAGGAGAAGGGACTGCAGTGTGGCCATCCCCTCTGGGGGGTGATTTCTCACTTTCTGTCTCTCTCCGTCTCTCTGGCGAGAGTATGCGCCCTAAAGCAAAAACCTCTCCAAAAAAAAAAAGGGATATCTTTTCAGAGTAGGTATCAATACCCTCCCTGCCCACTGCTGAGAATGTTCCGTTTGCCAGGACTGAGCAGAGAGAGGACAAAAGATGATCCATCAAAGAACAATGGAACCCTACGATAAAAGGGACCTTGGAAATACGCTGCTCAGAGCTCAAGGTCCTATGGTCATATTAAAAAACTAAATGCAGGGGCCAGCTGATGGTGTAAAGGTTACATCACTAGCACTAGACTCCCACAGAGCTGACCGCAGTTCGAATCCCGGACCAGGTGGCTTAAAATTCATGCCATGTACATACATTGCCGAAAATCTGGAGAGGAGGAGGGATTGCAGCATGGCCAGCCCCCCTTGGGGATGATTTCTTGCCTTCTGTCTCTCTGTCTCTATGGCAAGCGCACATGCCCTAAAACAAAATATCTCTCTTAAAAAAAGAAGAAAAAACTAAATACAGAGACAAGCAGATGGTGTAATGGTTATGTTGCTGGACTCCCATGCAGTCAACCACAGTTCAAGTCCCAGATCCAACAGCTTAAAACTCACATCGGGCACGTGTATGTGCATGTCCAAAGTCCCGAGAGGATACTGGAGGAGAAGGGATGACAGCATGGTCATCCCCCCCGGGATGTGTGTGATTTCTCTCTTTCTGTCTGTCTCTGTCTCTCCGGCAAGCACACACGTCCTATAGCAAAAATCTCTATTCAAAAAAATAAAAAACTAAACATAGAATGTTTTATTGGAAACTTCTCTTCTTTTTTGTTTTTATATTTTTAGATATTTGATACAGGGCATTTGTGTTTGCCGGAAAGACAAAGAGAGAGGGAACCTGAGAAATCAGTCCCGGGGAGGGATGGCCATACCACACTCTCTTCTCCTTCATTCTCTTCTCAGGATTTTTGGACACGCATGTATACATGCCCATCGAGTTTTTCTTTTTTCTTGGAGAGGTTTTTGCTATAGGGCGCATGTGCTCGCCAGAAAGACAGAGAGAGACAGAGAGACAGAAAGGGAGAAATCACCGCCCAGGGGGGATGGCCATGCCGCAATCCCTTCTCTCCCATTCTCCTCTCGGGATCTTGGGCATGCACACACACGCGCCTGGTGTGAGTTTAAGCCACTGGGTCCGGGACTCGAACTGCAGTTGGCTACATGGGAGTCCAGCGACATAGCCATGATGCTAACTGCGGGTCCCTCCCTCACGTTTTAGGACAGCGATCTCTAGAATCAGAACGTGATGGCGACTCCCACAGAACTTTGCATACTTACCGACGTCCCGTAATACTCATACTGCTCGTAGTCAAAAAGGATGTCTCTTCTGTAACGACAGAAAACGCAGCTCTGTGACACGAAGCAGTACTACGGAGGCCCAACATGTGGGAAAATGCTAAATCCTGACAGTATTCAAAGAAAATCGGATTCGATCATAGGACCATTGTTTTCACTCGCTGCCTCCTGAGGAAACATACACGCGCAATGCCGAGAAGGCAGTGAAATCGGCATAAACCACAAGGGCAATCATGATGCAAAATGGCATTGCCCCGGGTCAGCAGGTGGCGTAATGGTTAAGGCACTGAACTCCCACATGGCTGACCATGGTTCAAGTCCTGGACCTGGAAGCTTGCTTTCTCACTTTCTCTCTCTCTCCATCTTTCTCTGATGAATTAAAGCAATAATAATAAAATAAATGGATAATAATAATAAAATTCATTAAGTAGTTTTACAATCACATTTCTAGGAAATTATGCCCAAACAACAACTTAAAGGAACAAGCATGCCAAAATTCTTGCTGAGCAAAAGTTATCCTTGCAGCCTTATTTGCCAGAGCACGACATTGGCAGTCATCTGGAATATAAAAGAAGGGAGAGCGCCAACTTCTAATAAGTTCCATGCAGCTCATGGGTTTCTTGCCTTTTCTTTTTTTCTAATTATTATTTTTCTGATAGGGCACATGCGCTCACCAGAGAGAGACTGAGGACAGAGGAAGAGGGAAACTGAGAAATCACCCCAGGGGGATGGCCACGCTGCAATCTCTTCTCTTCCATTCTCCTCTCGGGATTTTGGGCACACGGGCACATGCGTCCAGCGTGACTTTCAAGCCACTGGCTGGGACTCGAACTGCGAAGTTAGCCATGTGGGGTCTAGCCACCTTAACGTGCATGCCACCTATTGGCCCTGCCTTTTTTTTTTTTTTTTTTGAGGTGTTTTTTTTCTAAGGCATACGCTTGCCGGAAAGACAGAAAGAGACAGAGAGACAGAAAGCGAGAAATCACCCCCCAGAGGGGATGGTCATGCCGCAATCCCTTCTCCTCCACTCTCCTCTCAGGATCTTGGGCATGTGTGTGAGTTTTAAGCCACTGGGTCCGGGACACGAACTGCGGTCGACTACATGGGAATCCAACGACATAGCCATTATGCTAACTGCTGGTCCCTGGCCCTGCCTTTTTCTTTTTTTCTTTAAAGAATTACTTACTTCTGAAATTCTATTTGTTATTATTATTTTTTTATGTTAGACAGAGAGAGAGAGAAAGGGAAAGCGAGAAAACAAGTCACCAGGTCCAGGACTCGAACCGCAGTTGGCCATGTGGGAATCCAGCACCTTTAACCACCACGTCACCTGCCATCCCCACTTTTTCTTTTTTTTAATTGCCAGAGGGCACATGTACCCCTCAGAGAGAGAGAGAAAGAAAGTACCCCACAATGGAGCATTGTCCCACCACAATCCTTGTCCTCCATTTCTCTGTCCCATCAGGATGTGGGGTACATGCACACATGTGCGTAGCGTAGTTTTCATGCAGATTCGATCCATGATCAGCCATGTGGGGTCTGGTTCTCTACACACAGCCCTTACCTGCTGCACTACGCGGCTGGCTCACTTTGTAGTGTAGAAGGCTGGTTGGAGCTATCGAAAATGGGCTTGCGAGCTCGGAGTAATCCCTTTCGGGGGCTAAGACAACTGAAGAGTTTCTGCTCAAACTTTACCCTCCAGACCCCAAGATCCACGAGACTGTATAATCCTCAATTCCCACTGGATCTGCTACACAAAGGGAGAAAAATGGAACTGCAGAGAGATTGCAGATCACCGCCTCCTGCACATCTCTGAATGCTTGGATTTCACTTTAAGAAATTAAGAAGAAACGTAGAATTTATCAGATGACCAGAAACCGCCGCAGAGGCACAAGTATTAAAAACCCAGAAAATATCTATCCCCCAAGGGAAAAGAACAGCTCGTCATGCACAAATGGTACAATGGAACTCATGGAAATGTCAGATGAAGAATATAGAATATTCGTAGCGACAAAGCTAACAGAAATGCAAGAGAGACGATGAACTCCAGAAGATGCAGGAGGAAAGAGACAAGAAGTTCCAGGAGGTGAGGAAGTTCTTGTACAAGTTTTTTTTTTTTTTTTGAGAGGTTTTTCGCTATAGGGCGCATGCGCTTGCCAGAGACAGAGACATAGAGACAGAAAGCAAGAAATCACCCCCCAGGGTGGATGGTCACGCCGCAATCCCTTCTCCTCCATTCTCCTCTCGGGATCTTGGGCACGCACACACACGCGCCCAGCGTGATTTTTAAGCCACCAGGTCCGTGACGCGAACCACAGTTGACTATGTGGGAGTCCAGCAACATAGCCATTACGCTAACTGCTGGTTCCCCATTCTTGTACAAGTTTTAAGAGGAAATACATACCATAAAAAAAGAATCAAATGGAACTGGTAGAGGTGAAGGCTATAATATAGGAAATCAAAACCTCTCTTGAAAGTATTAAAAGCAGATTAGATTATGTAGAAGATCGAATCTCAGATGTAGAAGACACTGTCCTAGAAAACTCACCATAAAGATGAAGAAAATAACCCAATGAAATGAAAATAATATACGAGAAATATTAGATACCATTGAACATCCAAACATCCGGATCATCGGTATCCCAGAAAGTGAAGAAACTAATCAGGGCATTGATCACCTAGTCCATGAAATCCTAGAAGAAAAATTCTCCAAACCTAGAGAGGCATTCAAATATCCAGACCCAAGAAATACAAAGGACCTCGCATAGAGCCAACCCAAGGAGATCTTCTCCAAGGCACATTATAGCCAGATTGACTAAAACCACAGACAAGGACAAGATTCTAAAACTGGCAAGAGAGAAACATCAAGTTACTTACAAAGGATATCCCATTAGGCTAATAGTGGCCCTCTCATTGGAAACAATGCAAGCAAGAAAAGAATGGGAAAATACATGCAAAGCGTTGAATGAAAATTTCAACCAAGAATTCTATATCTGGCAAGATTATCCTTTTTATGGGAAGCAAAGACAAAAACATTCTCATAAACCAAACCTGAAAGAATTTACCAACATCAGTCCAGCTCTCCAAAAAGTTCTAAAGGGAATACTATACCAGGAAAACTAAAGACAGACACATAGAACTAGGAATCCAAAAACAACCAAGAAAATGGCCAACGTAATGGTAGGGACAAGTCCAGAATAGAATGTTAACCTTCAGAATGTAAATGGAAAGATTGGACCACGACAGAAGAGAGATTAATTATATGAGGCTGAACTGGTAATTCTATTACCAGTAGAATAAATAGAACTTATGATTTTTGACTAAAACATTACCGATTTTCTCCTATGCTTTGTTTTCCAGATTTAAGGTTTCTTTGTCTTCTTTTTGAGCTGTTGATAGTTCATCTATCTACTATTTGAGTAGAATCCTAACCTTTTTCCTGGCTTTAACTCTTAAGCAAATTTCTCTTAACATTTTGTGATTTTAATTTATTAAAGCTAAAACTACTTTTCTTGAATTTAACAAACACGTTAAAAAATACCCATTTAATGACCACAGTAAGCTATATAGCCTCAGCTAGGTGCTACTTTACAGTATGTTCATTCTACTCACTGAGTTTTATGCGTGAAGTCAGACATGTGTTGACAAATAGACAAATATGAATATATCAGCTGAACTTGCTATTGAGAGTATTTAATTAAGATTTTTGTTTGTTTGTTTTTTTGGAGAGGTTTTTGCGATAGGGCACATGCACTCGCCAAAAAGACAGAGAGAGACAGAGAGAAAGAAAGCGAGAAATCACCCCCTGGGGGGATGGCCACACCATAATCCTTTCTTCTCCATTCTCCTCTCGGGATCTTAGGCATGCACGCCTGGTGTGAGCTTAAGCCACCGGGTCCAGGACTCAAACCGTGGTCGACTATATGGGAGTCCAGCGACATACCCATTACGCTAACTGCTGGTCCCTAATTAAGATTTTTTTGTACATCAGTAAAATGTAGGGGGAAGAAAGAGGCATCGAAAGCAACTGTAGATACCACAGACAGTATGGGAGGAGGGTGGGAAATGGCAGAGGGTGAGAAGTAGGGAATCAAAAGGAAAAAAAATGCAAAATATATAAGAAAGAAGAAAGGCAGAATTATTTGCTCATGATAACATGGATAGTAATATTATCGATTAAGCCAATATATAGTGTATTCTGGATGGGAAATCTCATTTCGTGCGCTATGTTGATGTACAGTGAATGAATGCAAAATAAATCAAAATCAAAAGAACTATCCGAAATGGTGATTTTATATAACAAATGCAAAAGTAGATGCAGATTATGATTCTGTAAAATAAACACAAGTATGGAGGAGAAATCGAAACCCAGAATCTCTTTGAATTAGCTAGCAAGATTCTGGATTATTTTCACTTTTCCTTACATTTCTTGGAGTGGTTTTAGGTTAGCCTTATAGAACAGCCAGCCTGAGTTCATATCTTCAGCTGAACAGCAGAGAATGTCAGCTGGCCCACCCAGCAAGACTTTCAAGGACAACTCTGGCAAAGGAATTCCCCTGGGACCCACCTCTAGGGCAGTGAAGCATGCTCAACTCAAGCTAGCCTTTCAAATACTTGCATTTTTTTTTTTAAAAAAATTATGCATTTAATTGTATGTATTATTGTTATTATTTTTAATTTGCTATAGGGCATGAACACTCACCAGAGACACAGAGAGAGAGAGAGAGAGAGAGAGAAAGTGAGAAAGTCACCAGCCAGGTCTGGGATTGAACCGTAGTCAGCTATGTGGGAGTCCAGTGCCTCAACCACCACGCCATCTGCTGGCCCCCAAATACTTTATTTCAAAGCATTTTTTTGTGATTGCCAGAGGGCACAAGCACTCACCAGAGAGAGAGATAGAGAGCGAAAGAGAGAGCGAGAGAGAGGGAAAGAAAGCAAACCCATGGGGTGTGGTCATTCTGTAGTCCCTTCTCCTCCATTTCTCCCCCTATCACATGTCAGACACTGGGCACACACACACATACATGCACATATCTGTGGTGGTTTTTTTTAGAGGTTTTTGCTATAGGGCGCGTACGCTCGCCAGACAGACAGAGAGAGACATAGAGACAGAAAGCAAGAAATTACCCCCCAGAGGGGATGGCCACGCCGCAATCCCTTCTTTTTCATTCTCCTCTCGGGATCTTGGGCATGCATGGACACGCGCCAGGCGTGAGTTTTAAGCCACCGGGTCCGGGACACGAACCGCGGTTGACTACATGGGAGTCCAGCGACATAGCCACCCATTCCACTCCCTGCTGATCCCCCCGGTGGTTTTTTTAAAGCCACTGGGGCTGGGATTAAAACAGCTGGCCATGTGGGAAGTGACTTTCTTAATCATTAAGCTACAAGGCCAACCCATTTTCATTTTTTCCCCTAAAGAATTATTTATTGTATTTTATTTATTATTCTTATTAATTTCCTATAGTCACCAGGGAGAGAGGGAGGGAAAGTGAGAAAACAAGCTGCCGGGTCTGGGATTCAAACCACAGTCAGCCATGCGTGAGTCCAGAGCACCAGCTGTTGTCTCCCCCTGCCTTTTTTTTTAACATCTACAATAGGAAGAGGAATTAGAGATGGTTCAATTTCATTTTCAAACTTTTGTTTTTGTCACAGGGTATGTGCACTTGCCAGAGAGAGACAGAGACGATGAGAAGGAAAATGGGCCATCACCCCCACCAGAGGGGATGGCCATGCCACAATCCCTTCTCCACTGTCCTCTCGGGATTTGGGGCATGCATGCACACGTTGTCAGGTATGATCTTCACGTCTCGGGTCTAAGACGTGAACTGTGGTCAGCCATGTGAGAATCCTGCACCTTAACCACCACGCCACCTGTAGGCCCCCTTTTTCATACGTCTTTCCTACGAAAAATATTGGGTCATCGGGAAAGTCATGACGAATTTTTGCATAGAAAAATGCGTCTGGACTTTGCCAGCGACCTAATTACACAATTGGAACCTACTTCATTAATCAAGAGCTTGTAAATAGCAGTATCAACATCTGGAAAAGTGGATGGCAAACCAAAGAACCAGAGGCCACTGTCCCTAACTGAGGACAAGTGCCTGGGCAACTCTGGGCCTGTCCTGCTCTCAAGGAACCCGAGGCAATGCAGAGGGTGGCCCAGAGCTCTCCTCCAGTCCAACGGCCACGCGCTCACTCCTGGAGCCAATGGCCAGCGGTTCTAAAACACATGAGTTATCGCGACCAGCAGTTGGTGTAATGGCTATGTCACTGGACTCCCACGTAGTCGACCGTGGTTCAAGTCCCACACCCGGTGGCTTAAACTCATGCCGGGCACATGTGTGTGCCCAAGATCCCGAGAAGAAAATGGAAGAGAAGGGACTGCGGTGTGGCCATCCCTGCTTGGGGGGTGATTTCTAGCTCTCTGTCTTTCTGGCAAATGCACGTGCCCTATAGCAAAAAACTCTCCAAAAAAAAAAAAAACTAATTAAAAGCATGAGTTATTCTAGAATGGGGAAAAAATGCATCTAGACCAGGAAAAAAACAAAAACAAAAACAAACAAAAAAAAAAAAAACAGAGTTCGCTGGCACCACAAGAGCAGGCAAAGCAGACTCCTTCCACCAGAAGCTGCCGCAGACTCACCTCCGGGCCTCCCATTCTCTCCGCTGTCGCCTCCTCATGGTCCGCTCCACTATCTCCTGGTATGGGGACAAAGAAAGCAAAGGTGGAAAGATCACGCCAGGAAGTTATGCCCACAGCCTAAGAAGGTCCCGATTCGGCAGACGCTAGTGGGCTCGGACCTCGGAGACAGAGTGTGGGTTATCCCTGTGCCCAGACCGCAGCCTGCTCCAGAGAAGGGAGGAGCGAAGGTAGGGACAGCCGGACACCTTCTGACCCGCCCTCCACACTGCAGACACCGTGCACGGAGGGGTGGGGACTTGCTGAGCGCCTGCTCCAGCTGGACTTCATGTCTGTGCACCTGCCTGTCCATCGCCCCAGCACATGGGATCCGGGAGAAGCCCACACCCACCTGGTACCAGCTTCCGCATGGGGAGGGACGGGAGCTCACTGCCTCTCCCATTCTCCTGGCAACTGCTGACTCTGCAGGCACGACCCGCATGAATCCGCACAAGAAGGCATGGGCTAGTATGGTGGTTCTAAAAATCCACTATCTGGGGACCAGCAGTTGGCGTAATGGCTATGTTGCTGGATTCCCATGTAGTCGACCATGGTTCTAGTCCTGGACCCGGTGGCTTAAACTCACACCGGGCGCGTGTGCGTGCGTGCCCACAATCCCAAGGGGAGAACGGAGGACAAGAGATTGCAGTCTGGCCATCCCCCCGAGGGGTGATTTCTCGCTTTCTGACTCTCTGTTTCTCTCCTTCTGGTGAGTGCATGCGCCCTATAGCGAAAACCTCTCAAAAAAAAAAACTTACTGAATAAAATAGGCACTGCCAGAGAGGGAGAAAGCACCCTGCACACACTGCCCCGGAGGGGTATGGTCACACCACACACACACACACACACACACACACACACACACACCCTTCTCCATTTCTTCATCGTGTCAGGATTCTGGGCATGGAGACACACTTGCTCAGTGTGATTTTTAAGCCACCAGGGCTGGGATTCAAACCACAGTCAGCCATGTGGGATCTGGCTCACTTAGCCCCTCAGTCTATGGGGCCAGCCCGGTTTCTCTGTATGACCTTTTAAAATGTTTACTAACTCCTCATAGAGCTGAGCTGTCCTGATTCATTTCATCGACAGGAGCCTACATCAAGTGAAGGATGTCACTCTCCCAGCAGTCCAATAACCTGGCCAAGACCACACAGCCTGGGGACAGGGGGTACTCATGCCTGCAAACCCCCCCCCCTCAATTCCCACTGTCCCCAAGTACACCAGTGACCGGCAGGCCCAGGACCTCTGGGCACACAGGTTTCCCCAGGATGCCACGAGGCCACACACACCTCTTCTAACCGCATTCGCTTCTCAGATGGCTCTGACCCGTCACTCTCATTTTCTGACTGCTCTTCATCCTCCTCTTCGTCCCTGAAGATGTCGTCGTAGGCGGGAATGTCCAGGTCATCATCTTGTTTAATGAGCAATTTGATCTAGGTTGAAAATGAAAAACAATCGCATCTCTCCTCTCTCTGACAGAAAGCGCTCGGTGTGGGGAACTGTCAGAGAGCACCCCCTTCACCGTTTCTCCCTCTGTTCAGGACTCTGGGCACACACACCTGGCGTGTTTCTCAAGCCACCGGGTCCAGTACTCAAACCACACACTTGGCTACGTGGGATCCAGTCATCCCAACCATGACGACACAGGCAGATTCATACAACTTTTTAAAAAAATTACTGAATGAAGGGACCAGCAGTTAGCGTAAGGCTATGTCACTGGACTCCCATGTAGTTAACCTCGGTTCAAGTCCTGGACCCGGTGGCTTAAAACCCACGCTGGGCGCGTGTGCGTGCGTGCCCAAGATCCCGAGAGGAGAATGGAGGAGAAGGGATTGCGGCGTGGCCATCCCCCCTGGGGGATGATTTCTCGCTTTCTGTCTCTCTGTCTCTCTCTGTCTGTCTGGCGAGCGCACGCGCCCTACAGTGAAAATCTCTCAAAAAAAAAAAAAAAAAAAGAAGAGCTAGGTGTCATGGCTCTGGTCAAAGATGAACAAGACTGGACCTGGCACAGGGGCACACAGGTTTGGGAAGCCAACTTGGAGGCATGGGTTTGGTTCCCCGGTCAACTTAGCACACGAGGTCTATAATACTGCATGTCTACAGTCTTAGCTGATTGGAAGTCTGGGGCTGGGAGACTATGGCAGGGTGAAACTGACACAATGCCCATTCCAACTTATAAAGGGGCATGTGGCGCATCAGCCACGCCACTGGACCCACATGAGAAGGTCCTCTGTTCACATCCTAAGACCTCCACTTATCCACCAAGCATGTACATACAAGCCCATGGTTGGTGGCTGAGGCTGGGGGTGGATTGTGGCATCGAAGACCCTGCTGGGGATGCCTGTCTTTGTGCACGTGTGACTTTCATGGAAGAAATAAATAAACTTAAGAGAAAAACAAGAACCCTATCTCTGCTTCTCTTCCTTTCTCTCTCATAGAGGAAGAAAAGAAAAAGAGGTGGAAAGACCGGGTTGCTCCTGTGATTGGGCTGTTCTAGTCCCACAGGGGAGGTGGACACATGCCTTGCCAAGAATAGGAGGTACAGGGACCAGTGGATGGCCTACTGGTTATGTCACTGGACTCCTACATAAGTCAACCATGGTTTGAGGCCACTGGACGCATGTGTGTGTGCCCAAAATCTCAAGAGGAGAATGGAGGAGAAGGGATTGCGGCGTGGCCATCCCCCCCGGGGGGGCGGTGATTTCTCACTTTCTGTCTCTCTGTCAAGCACACATGCCCTATAGCAAAAATCTCTCTCTCAAAAAAAAAAGAAAAAGAAGATGAGGTACTACTTAAACATGGCATAAAAAGGTCCAGAGAGATTGAGGGTGGAGCACAGCAGAGGTGAGGCCCCGGGGTCTGGGTACCTGGGAGTCGTTGTATACGTTGACGATGTTGATTGGCCTGCGAGAATCGCACACGAAGAACACAGCGTCTTCGCCAGGTTGAAGGATATCCAAAAGGTCCACGTTAGCTCCACAGTTTATGAGAATAAAATACTGGAACTTAAGAAAGAAGGAAGACATTGGCAAGTAATCGCATCGACAAGGCCCCCTTCCCTTCTCCACACCAAGCCTCTGAGTCCTGCTGCCAAGACACGTCAAGCCACTGACATACGGCAGGGCATGGGAGCAAAGGGCTCAAAAGTGGCCATGGCTGAGGCCAGCAGTTAGCGTAATGGCTATGTCGCTGGACTCCCATGTAATCACCCACGGTTCGAGTCCCGGACCCGGTGGCTTAAACTCACGCCGGGCGCGTGTGCGTGCGTGCCCAAGATCCCGAGAGGAAAATGGAGGAGAAGGGATTGCGGCGTGGCCATCCCCCCTGGGGGGTGATTTCTTGCTTTCTATCTCTCTGTCTCTGTCTCTCTGGCGAGCGCACGTGCCCTGTAGCAAAAACCTCTCAAAAGAAAAGTGGCCGTGGCTGAGGTCAGCAGATGGCACTGTAGTTATGTTGCCAGACTCCCACATGGACTACCCCAGTTCAAGTCCCGGACCCAGTGACTCAAAACTCACACTGGGCACATGTGTGTGCGTGTCCAAGAACCCAGGAGGAGACTGGAGGAGAAGGGATTGCGGCATGGCCATCCCCCTGGGGGGATAATTTCTCACTTCCCCTCCCACAGTCTCTGTCTCTGTCTCTCTCTCCCCAGCGAGCACATGCCCCCTATGGCTAAAACCTCTAAAAAGAAAAATGCCCACAACTGACCTGTGCTAAGCGCTTTAGCGTACCCAATACGTTATGTCATTTCCGAGATGACGCTGAGCGGCAGGCCCTGTGGCTCTCCCACTTCACAGAGGAGCACACTGAGGCTCAGCAAGCCCAAGGCTCGTGTGCAGGGTCAAGAAGCTAAGGAGGGGCACACCAAGACTTCCAAATGTATCTGGTCCCTGCGGATTTCAAAGGACGGTGCTGCACCAGCTCTGCCTGCTAACAGCGGGTACGAGTTTAGATCTGTAGCGAGTCTTACACCGCATATGCTCCACGGGCATCTAAATACTAAGTAATTGATTACACAAGGTCGTGGTAACAAGTTCTTTCTTCATAAACACCAAGCTAGGGGCTGGACAGCGACACAGCAGTACTGAAACACTCTGCCAGGCTGACCCGCAAAGGAAGGTTCCAGGTTCATGCCCGAAGACTTCCCTGAATACACGGGTGAGCACATGCCCCATGAGCCCGACTTACTGAAATTGAGAGTAGGTCACAGTGTGAGGACTCTGTGGGGGGTACCCGTCTCTCTATCTCTGTCTCACCCATGGAAAAGATAGGTAAACTTGCTGTCAGGTGGTGGTGTGGTTTTGTTTGTTTGTTTGTTTTTTTGAGAGGCTTTTGCTATAAGGTGCGTGCACTCTCCAGACAGACAGAGAGAGACAGAGAGACAGAAAGCGAGAAATCACCCCCCGGGGGGGTGGCCACGCCGCAATCCCTTCTCTTCCATTCTCCTCTCGGGATCTTGGACACACATGCACACACACCTGACGTGAGTTTATGCACGGCACACACACCTGACGTGAGTTTAAGCTACCGGGTCCGGGACTCGAACCTCAGTGGACCACATGGGAGTCCAGCGACACAGCCATTACACCAACTGTTGGTCCCTGGTAATGTAGTGGTTAAGGGCACTAGACTCCCACATGGTGAACTGCGGTTCAAGTCCCAGACCCGGCAGCTTACTTTCTCACTTTTCCTCACTCTCTTTCTCACTCTGTCTCTCTCTGGTCAAATTAAAATAAATGAATAAATAAATAAATAAAAGTTAAGTGAAATAATTGTTTTCAAATAAATAAATAAATAAACTTTATGGGACCAGCAGTTAGTGTAATGGCTATGTCGCTGGACTCCCATGTAATCGACCACGGTTTGCGTCCCGGACCCGGTGGCTTGAAAGTCGTGCCGGGTGCGTGTGCATGTGGGCCCAAGATCCCGAGAGGAGAATGGAGGAGAAGGGATTGTGGCGTGACCATCCCCCCTGGGGGGGTGATTTCTTGCTTTCTGTCTCTTTGTCTCTCTCTGTCTGTCTGGCGAGCACACATGCCCTATAGCAAAAACTTTCAAAAAAAAAACAATGCTTCTCCAACTTGAGGGTAGATTACTAGAATATATACCACGTCTTTCTTTCCCACTGCCTAAAGTAGTTGATACTTAAATGTACACAATTTGTTGTGAAACTAGAAAGAATACCAACATTAAAACACGACTGAGTAAATAAAAAAAGCCCAGTTATCCTTAAATACGTCATTCATACCTGTTCTCTATGCTCAAGAAATGCAGTTTCAAGTTCCTGCCATCCAGAAACTGGAACCAACGTGTATTGCACATGGTCACACTGGAACAGGGCCTGGAGAGAGAGTGTTCAAAGTCTGCCTTGGAACTAGCATAAGACATAGCGGTTACATCACTGGATTCCAACCTGGCCAACTGCAGTTCGAGTCCCGGACCCAGTGGCCTGAAAATCACACCAGGCACGTGTGCGTGCATGCCCAAGATCCTGGGAGGAGAACGGAGGAGAAGGGGTTGCACATGGCCATCCCACCTGAGGGATGATTTCTCACTTTCCCTCTCATTGTCTCTATTTCTCTCTTTATTTTTTTATTTTTTTTTTTTTTGAGAGGTTTTTGCTATAGGGCACGTGCACTCGCCAGACAGACAGAGAGAGACAGAAAGCAAGAAATCACCCCCAGGGGAGATGGCCACGCCGCAATACCTTTTCCTCCATTCTCCTCTTGGGATCTTGGGCACGCGCACACACACACGCCCGGCGTGACTTTTAAGTCACCGGGTCTGGGACTCGAACCATGGTTGACTACATGGGTGTCCAGCGACATAGCCATTACGTTAACTGTTGGTCCCTCTGTTTCTCTTTTTGACAAGGAAACACAACCTAAGGCAAAAACCTCTCAAAAGAAAAAAAGGTCTGGGCTTATTTAGGATATCCACTATTCACTTTGAAACACAACAGGAAAAAAAAAAAATCTAGATGGGCTGAGAGACAAAAGAAATGCAATAATTTAAGATTAGCAAAATGTCATTGGGGGAGTCGAGTGGTAGGGATGTAAGTTTGCTATACCATTCTGTCAGCTTTGTTGGATTTTTGAAAATCACCAGAGTAAAACATTGGGAGAAAGGGCCAGTGTGGTAGTTAGAGATGCTGGACTTCTACATGGCTGACTACAGTTCAAGTCCCGGACCTGGCAGCTTGTTTTCTTGTTTTCTCATTTTCCCTCTCTCTCTCTCTCTCTCTCTCTCTCTGGTCAAGTTCAATAATAATAAAAAAACAACAATTAAACTTAGGTAAAATCATTCTTTTAAAAAAAAATAAGAAAAAAGTGGGTCTGACTTCAGGTCACCTAAGAAGTCCCTAACTAATAACCAATCAAAGTAAACACTGCAGTGAATTCAAAACAAACTAATCAGGCACGGTGGTGCCCCGACCCATGGCAAACCTCAAACTACTCCTGTCCCCTAATTGGTCAGGGACTTTTGCCAGCACCGCTAATGACAGCACTAGGCCCTCAGAGATTGCTCTCTCTCAGACCCCACGTTTGAACTGTCAAAGTCTCCCAAATGCAACCAGTTTGGTTTTCCACCTTGGTTGTTGCAAAAATACTGCTTTACCTACGCCTCCTCTAAGCCACCCTACACTGTCCATCCAGGGAGGCGACCCCCCAGTCTTCCTCCCCACCTCTTGCCCTGCCCACCTGGCATACACCCCTCGGGCCTGGACCACCCTGCACCCTCGCCTCTCTCCCAGGGCCCACAGGGCTCACCTGAAGTATCTTGCAAGCGCACAGAGCGTCCACGTCCGAGGCCACAAAGAGAAGGACCCTCTGCAAAAGAGCAGCCCAGCTGAGCGCCACGACCCGAACCCCGATCCCTCCTCCTCGCCCTTTAGCCACCCACGGCCACTCCCCCTCATCCTTTCTCCGCTACAAAGCCCTGGCCGGGGTTCTGGACTGGGGGGTCACCTGGTTCTGCACCAGCTCGTAGAACTCCCGGCGGAAATCGGACACGAACATAGCCACTGCAGCCGGACACCTTGCGCTCCGCTGAGATATCAAGGGCCCCAGCGGCGGTCAAGGCGCGGCTCGTCCGATTGGGCCAGGCCATCGACCAATAGCGGCTGAGTTCCCAGCCTTTCCTCTTTTCTGATTGGGCGCCATTGGGGGCGGGGACTAGCGCTTCGCCAGGCTACCCCTGTTGAACTCTGTGTTACCCAGAAACCCGACGCTTGGCGGACATATTTACTTTGGGAAGAGTGGCCTGCTCTCTTGTACTAGACACGTACGGAAAAACATACTTTGATTCTTAATTTAAATTCAGTTATACATCGAATGAAAGGAGCAATGACGTTTTCAATAGGCACTCTGTCCAGGTCGAAGGCAGGTGCGTAGGTCACTTCCGCCCAAATCCTCAATGGCTGAAGCAAAGACCGGAGGAGCGCCTGCATTCTGGGTAATGTAGTCGTTAAGTGGGATGGACTCTACTAACTTCGTCTGGAGGGGAATACCTTCAAAACTTAATTTTAAATAACCTAAAAAGTTATGTCTAGGCGGGAGCGTAAGTCATTCAATTGTATTTTGAATTTTATTCTGCAGGATGTTTAAGTTCTAATGCCTTTTCCAGTTATTTTTTTCCCTTTGCATCCAATGCCTGACCTCGGCATCCCCCCGGGTCTCAGGTCCGGCACTTCCGGTGAGTCTCCTCCGGCCTCCCGGCTTCAGTGTGGCGGCGGCGACAGTCAGGAGAGCAGTCGGTGGGCTCCGCGCTAACGATCCCCGTGAGAAGCGGTGCCGGCGAGGAAGTGTCCATCATGGTCAGGGCGGCCGCACC